CTCAATGTATCAGAGAGAGTAATTCCGAAAGTTCTTTAGCAATTTCCAGCTTTCAACACAGAGAAACTATGTGAATGAGATGTTGCACACAGTCACAGATCTTCCAGACATCATAAAGGGCAAATCAGCGGGAGTAGTGAACTCCGACAGAAACATAAATATTACCCCTCCCCCCCAAATAAGAAGGTCTCTCCTCTCTTATGCTTATTCAATTGTTCAAAAGATAGTTTAATTAAGCTTTTATCCAACCGAGAGTATGATCATGTCCTATGTGATCATTCCAACTTTTACTACAAGCAATCCATACCAGGAAGTTACTATGAACAGCACAAAGAACATTGAAGCATCTAAATGGAACTTCCAACGAATTGTATTCTGCTTTTTCATTTTTGGTATAAAGAAAACTATGTAAATGATGAAGAATCCATTTTAGACATTATAAAATCCTTGTAAGAAGAGCAAAGATAGGTTTTTGATTACTTTCTGGAATCTGTAAATAGTTACCACTTACCAGCACAGCTTTTGTGCTGTGTTTTTAATATAACTGTTACCATTCTCAAAAAAAAAAAGGAACTTCCAACTTATCTGCTGTACGAGAGATTCTTGTTTCAAGGGTGCCATACTTTGATTATTGTTTAATGTAATTGCTGCAGTTGCCAAGTTATCTCATAAGTTCCAATTTCTGCTTTATTTCCTTTTACAATTATCCTTCTTTAGATGGGTTTAATAATATTATATTGGGTGGTTAAGAAACGAAATATTTTCATAATTAAGATTACCAATTTTCTGTCTTTGAGGCTGTATACAGTGATTTTCAGACATTTTCAAACTTTCATGACAAGTTTTTCCCTTTTCTTTCAACAGGTTCTAGGGACCTTAGGATTTCTTGCTTGTTCCTAGTTCCTACTACTCCGCTTCATGAAGCTTATCTGGTCTTGACACTACTTTGCCTGTAGTGACAGCAGTAACACCACTCATGATCATTATCAGGAGTGACCTAATATAGTTAGGTGACCAACATACTAACTCCGGTATTTCAGCCGAATTCTATTCTCTTTTTTGATACTACTAACTCCAGTATTTCAGCCGAGTTCTATTCTCAAGCCTCAAAAGAACAGTCATATCAAGGACACATTGAAACATGCACGATAAGTTAACAAGGTCAATACTGGGACGTTCTTCCCCAGTTCAGCTGGTTTCTTTTTTCTGAATGTAGATTAGGAAGCACTCTATTAGCTGCTTTTGAGATATGATATATCAAAAAGTTGCTGAGGAGGTGTCTTAGTGTTTTACTGAACAATCTTGTGAGTGATTAGTAATCTTAAAGAGCTGGGAAATAAAAAGAACAAGAACCTTTTTCAAAGTAACTGAAGCTTCTAACTCAATGAGAACGCCAGGACCACAAACAAGACATTCTTTGTCCCTCACAAACTCGGTCACTTTGGTGTGCAGACCTTCAACTCCATTGTACCTTCAACAGGTACAGAATTCCACATAAGTCAACAGAGCTTAGCCAAATGTTTTAAAGGGAAATTCAATTCGTAAGTAATGATAATGCAAAAAAAAAAGAGAGAGAGAAGAAGAGGAACGCAGATGAGCTGTTGCAAGGGGAGAACCATGGAATACAAATTAGGGTAAAAAATCCTAACATAATGTAACAGGCATAAACAAAGTAAACAACTCATTAATCAAACAGAAAGCAAGATACAAGACATTAACAGAGAAGACAGGAAACTAAGACTTCTATTGCTTCAGGATAACTTAGTTCTTAATTTCAAATGAATCACAAGTACATAATTGCATTTCTGTTGAAGAAGTCATAAGGAAAGATTAACCTTCAAGATGTTATCAAATTAAAGTGCAAATGTTGACGATAAGATCATGGATTCATAAAGACACAACCTGCAACAGTGGCGGAGCTAAGTAAATTAGGATTTAAACAGACTTACGTCAAGTAATTTGATAAAGTTTTGCTGCATCCAGAGACAAGCTTCAAGGTCTCCAAAGCACAGGCAGCAGAAATTATAGCATTGGTGGATGCTATAGCAGGAATGATATTTTTAACAACACCCTGTAAGCAATAAAGAAAGATTATTCAATATGAACTGAGAACACATGACTGCACAAAACCACTATACCAGCCTAATATGGCTGGAGTAGATAGGTTCTCACCTCAATGCATAATGAAATAATACTTTGTTTGGCCATATCTATAGGAGGATGTCTAGTTGTCTACAGAAGGCTAAAACTTCCATACCATGAGCTTACCTGGGTCAAAGAATAGGTAACTCCCGGAATTCCAAAGAGCTCTGCTCTCTTAACAGCCTAAAGCACATGATCAGAGAAGTCGAGGATTGAGAAAGGAAACATGAGAAATGTAGCATACGTCTAAGTACTAGGAATGGAGAAAGCAAAGAGCATAAATTAACCTCTGAATACACCCATTGCATGTGTTCAGGGTCATCTGGATCAAAAGTTTTGCCACTATGAACCTGCATAAAACTTCTGGGGTGAAAAACAGTGCAGTTGGTCTAGAAG